TTTTTCAAAGAGATAGCCATGGTCAATCTTTACTCAAAGTTTATATTTAACCTTAAAAGTATGAGTTTCCATGACRTCTTAAACTAAGCAGAAATATCTCCTTGCATTGTTTTTTTCATTTCTCCAAAAGCTTTGTAACCCTAAGGGGATCCTGTCTTGTGAATGGRTGTTAAATCGTTTAGAATCAAAAGTGCGGCTGTCCAGTCATTGTYAGTCTCCACTCCAAGCAACARGCAAAGGGGAAAGGAAAATAAACATCATCGAAATCTTAAATGCAATGAGYTATTTTAATATTTAAAAGTCTATCCAAATCCCACTGAAATCAAACACAAAACTTTTATTGAGTTCAACAGGGAAAGGATTTCAGTCACCAAGTAAAACAAAGAGCAATTGTAATCCCTTCAAAATTAATGAGGCAATAAGATTTTAAAACTACAGTTTGAAGTTTCTTTTTGGAATGGTCTTTTAAAATTATGCCAGTGACAGCTTAAGGTGTATAGAGCTGCTTGGAGAAAAAAGAAGTTTTACCTGGAAAGAAGTCACTGAATTATGGTTTCTCAGAAAAAAAACTAGATTAATGTTTATTTTGTTCTGTTCTGTATGTCAGTGAGTATACACATTTCTCCGCTGCTCCTGAGTTCTGCCAGAACAGGAATCTGTAGGCAAAAAAACCCCTGTTGAATTACTTCACAAAGACAGGTAATATCCAAAGTCTCTCACAGGAGCTTTCCTCCTGAGATTTCCTGACAACAGGATTTTGGATAAATGCAGATAAGTCTTGTATAAGTATCTGAACWTTAAAAAGCTTATATGAACCAAAACATCTCCAGTTTTCTGGCATTCAGTCCCACTAGTTAGTGTTTKCTGCATGCATACCTCTCCTCCAGAAGGAATCTGTGGCTGCATTTTGCTTCCCTGCTTTCCTCAGTTTCTCAGAGGGGATGGGGTGAGCTGACAGTTCCTTTCAGAATCAGGCTTTCCATCAGCACATGGACAATCTGGAGCAATATGGTAAAGAAACCCTTAGAGCACCTTCTTCTTCCAGTTCCTGTGCAGCATTCCCATGACATTTTGCCCCGTAACTCATGTGCATCCCTAAATTTAGATTCCACTCAGCAGTGGCAGAGTCACACACTGGTTTTACYAGGCCTGATTTCAAGTGCCACGTCGTTAGCATGCTTCTGTTATCTGCCCTCCCACCATTGTTCAGGAATTAGCTGCTGCTGTCCAATGAGAATAACAAAAGATATTGTTAAGATGGGTAAAGGAAATTTGGATTGAAAYGCCCCTTTCTTGGTCTTTGTTGAATCTTACTTGAATTTCCACTGGCCTCAGTTCTTCACCACCTATTAAAAATAAATAATTCCATCTCAGACATTTCTTTGCTTCAAGGGCTGCTCTCTTCAATCCAGCCACTTCCCAAGAAAATTATTCTATGCTGCTTCTTTTTATTTTTCACCCAGGAATWATTTTTTACCTGAATGTCCCATTCCATAGTACATTGCTGCTTTAAYTCACACTTCTCATGCTCACTGGCCTCCTTATATATACTACATAAAGCTCAACTTCTGCATAGAATCTATAGAAAAAAACCTGACTAAATGAAAAGTCCACTGCTTGCCTTGCTGGCTGATTCTGTCACATGGTCTTCCAGCTGCATATATCCCTATTTCATTCTGGTAAAAGTATTGCAGGCTTTTAAGGGTGAGGTCTTTTTTTAAATATATGTCTTCCACTCTGTCTATGAAAAGTGGCTAAGGACYAGTGCTACTGGTGAAAAAATACTGTTAATTATATAATCAAGAAACACTAGCAATAACAACATATTTTTCAATAGTTAATTGCACTTGAATTTCATATTGTGGTCAACGTTGAATAATTAAAAACAACTTGTGTTTCCTTGTGTAACCCACAGTTCGTTCATGTTATAGTCCCTCTTTATGCAGTTAATCCATGGGTCTTTGTTGTTCTGTAACTGTTCTTAGCTGAAAAAAATATGTGCTTTCAATTAACAGATGGAGTTCATACTTTACAGTGCAAAAGACCTGCCTAAGTTCCTATTTAATTATTTGCTCTTCCTCTTAATTTAGCTGTGTACATATCTGCAGAAAGCCCACTACATTTACCGCTCCAGAAATTACAAGTTTTGCTGCTGTTAAACATACACTTAATATGCAACATTCTAAGTGTGAGCTACTCAAATTGAGAGGAAATAAATTTATTCAAGAAATGGGATTACTTCCTTAAACCAGAAATAGCTCTTTCTGTAATATGCATTTACCAAGTCCATCGTTTTCATTTACAYAAATTTCTCTCAGTAGTACTTGAGGAGCATCAGTGGGGCCAGATGCAGCTGAGATRTGAATGGAAGCTCCGTGACTTTTTCTCAGACTTGACCAAGAGCCCATACCTTGCATGAGGCAGAGCAATTGGGAAAGTCCTTTACTACTTCTATGTAATCTTCCCCCAGAAATTTCATAACAAATATAGACATTTCAAAGCTGTCTGGACACTCTGAATAATGCAACTTKAGAGCTTGATGGAAGAAAATTATGTCAGTGGGATTAACTGGCGGGCTGACTTGGCAATGAAGATTCTGCAGATAGAGATGTAGTCATTTTTTGCTTGGGATATTTGCAGCAAAAATTCCTGCCACTTCCTGTRCACCTTCTCAAAGCTCCATGTCTCAGCTCATGGCTTTCAAGACTCATATAGCTCTGAACCTTGCTATGCAACTTAAGTGTTTTTTCCTGGGCCCAAGATGCCTGCAAAATATTACAAAATCAAAGGCAGAAATAGTCTCAGATTAAASAGAATCTTGTTGTAAGTACCTTGGGCTTACAAATTAATCTTGTGCATCACCTAGAACCACAAATGTAAGAAAGCAAAAAAAAAAAACAATCTGGAAAATCAATCTAACTCACCAGAACTAAGGCACTCAGGGAAAAAAAAAAAGAATATTACAGAAATACCAGCAGCACTTCAAGCTGTAGTTACTACAAGTAAAGGCTAATAAAAGAAAGAATGGAAGAAAAGGAAACTCTTTTCTGTCATTAACTGACATGCTTGGTATGTTTACCAGTTTTAATTAATTCAGGCAGAGTAAACAAATAATTAAACCACATTTTAGAAATAAGAGGAGATCTACATTACTTGCCGAAATAATCCACTGAAAAGTCATAGGTGGCACTGGAAAGTGGAGCTGTGGAACAGCTGGAGTGGAATCTGAAGCTGGAGAGGCTTCCACTTTGAGGAGACATCCACAGTCCCCAGCAAAGTGTGTGGAGCAGTGTGTCAGAGAGAGAGAGAGAACAAGAACATTAAAGTATACAAGAATATGAAGTGCCAAACAAGTTCCTGGAGGATGAGCACTACTCTGATGCTCTGCACATACCCTGGAAACCTGAGAGTCACAAAACACACTCACAACACAAAGGAATTTGTAGCTTGAAGTGCAGTGTGCCCAGGGTTTTAGCAGGATGAATTAAGCACTCAAAACTCTGAGAGAAACATTCTATAAAACACACGTGAGGATTCTCTGAAGGCAATAACACAGGAAACACTAGAAAAAGAACTAGAAAACATCTATATTATGCTTAGTGTTAAAAACCCTTGTCAGAAAATCAGCAGAAGTATGATTTGGGGAAACCCTGAATGTTGATAAATACCTTGCCTACACAATAGGCAAAATATTAATKAAATTAACATGGTCAGACTGTGGAATTCATGTACTCCATAAACCCCACAATTTTTCAATGTTTCAAAAATCAAACACATATATGTCTTTTGATTTAGAAAAAAATGTTGTATAGAATTTAATTTTTTTCCCTGTTTGCATGTACCTTTTCATGCAGAAGAAAAGTCTGCTGTGGTATCTAAAGAAGTGAAAAGTAAGTAAGGTTTTTTTATTATTTTTTTCTTTGTCTTCCTGTTAGCTTTATGCAAGGGACGGGAGTACATTTTCTTCTTAGGTCTGGAAATATTCCCACACTTTAAATATTTTTTCAATTAAAGAAAAGAGTTTTGCTTAAAGGCTTATATTTCTATCTTTTGTAAGATAATAAAACTTGGTTTCTTATCTACATTTGCAATAGTAAAAGATMACAAAAAAGAAAACTATATTTCCACTAAATATATCATTACCCAAAGTCATACAGCACAAACTGAAGGTAACAAATTTGGCTTTTCATGGATGAGTAATTAAAAAAGTACTGAAAWTGGCTATTCTTGTACTCTTGTATTCTTCCCCATCAAAAAGGATATTCATTTTGCTAAGGAAAAATATGAATTATAGCTTTCTCACATCCTCTACTGAACTCTCAATTTTCTAATTCAAAACATTCATGAAATAGGTAATTAAATTGTTACAGCTTGTTGTAAAAAAAAGGAAAATTATTCTCCTTATTTCTACTGTTTCCCAAATAACTGCCAAAACAGAGGCAGATATTTTTGAAAGAATAAGTCATGTTCCTTTGTAGATGATGCTTTAAAAGCAACTYTCCATGAATAACAGAAGTCCTGTAATGACAGTGTCAAAGGTTCCATTCATAAAAAGGATTATACAGGTATGTTGTACATGCAGGCTTTTCATGGCATTTTGTACTCCTTCCCAAGAACTGTTTACAAATTTTTCTGTAAATGTACAGGTTGTACAAAAGAAGCAGAACAGGTGCATGGCTATTGAGTCACCACAATAAACTCTTAATTACACCAGGTTAATGGGAATAATTTCTTCAGTTAGTGCTACAGYAATAATCTGCTGTGAGCACTTGTTCCAGTTTTACCCTTAGCACGACATTTACTACTCTGAGTATTAAACTGTATTTGTGAAATGCTGGTAGTAAGTGATCAGCTTATCAAATCTTGAACATATTGCAGTCAGCAAAGGATTCCCTATCCCAAATGTATATATACATACACATACATACATACATGAGTGCTTGTGTGTATAAAATTTCTGTGTAAAAGTAGCCAGCTGAAGTTTGATTTACTTTTCTTAGAGAGAAAAGAGGAGAAGAAAAAGGCTGATGAAAAGAAGACTRTGACTGAAACTAAGATGAAAGGTATGGTTTGGAAGCATTTTTTACTGGCCTCATTCAGCTTTTGCTCACACTTCTGGGTCATTTCCCATTGTTTTCTATTAGGTTAGTCCTGTGCTTCTGGCTCTGTRTTGTCCTTCTCTTAGCTGCTTAGAMACTATTTGCATGTTTCCACTTCTTCAGAGTTTAATGTCTGATGTGTTCAGCATCCAGTATTGTCTAAACTCATATTCTGACAAATTAAAAGTCCTTTGGTAGCCATTTGTGAGCTTTTKAAACAAWTTAATGYTGTCCATATATATAACAGGAAATAKTTATGCTACAATACACAAWACTYATGGAAGAWATCACTCAATTMATGGTACATCACTTTCTGAAGGTGAGGTAGATATATTTATTTTATAGAATAACAATTGAAACTTACAGTGACCAAACTGCAAAGTCATGRTATTCACCTAAATAATATTTCAAACATCAATTCCCAGAAAGCATCTAAAATCCACTAAGGTGTTGCATCATGCAAAATATTTGTCATCCTTTATTTTTGATGATATCATTACTACTGGAACTTAAGCTTAAAGGTGCCGCATTCATGCACTGAGGATTTTTTCCTAACTTTTGATGAATTATTAAGGGTTCAAATCATCCATGATTGATGCATACTGATTAATTTTCATTTTCAGCTGATTACTCTGTGGCTAGTTGGTTGCAARTGCTATAAGGGAATAATCTGAACTATACTCCCAAATAAGTCACATTTTGTCAGTATGTTCCCACCAGGACTTGGCTGACTGCATATTTGAGTCTATGATTCAGAGTTTTAGCATATCAAATTATTCTCTTTAATTAAATCTTAGAAAAAACAGGAAAAAAGGAGAAAACTCATGAGAAGACAGCTGTCCCTGAAATTAAAAAAACAGGTAAGAAATTGAACTCTGATTTTCTCTGCAGTGATAGCTGACTATTTAGTGCAAGCACTTTCAAGTTTTAAGCATTTGAGATAAGGGTGTATGTAGCTCATTATCATTTAAGAATCCAAGTGGAGATATAGATAGATGCAGATGTATAYTTATATATATATGTATATTTATATATATGTCTGCAATGTGTTTGTATTATATTGTAATATATTATACACATATCTGTATGTATAATACATGTAATTTTCTGTTCTATGAGCTTCGGACGTTTACAAATATGTTATAAAGACTGCCTTCACTCATACACTAAATCTATCAAGAGTATAACTAATTTCAAAGATAACATGGCAAAGATTATATGGAGGGCATATATTTTTCCATGAATTATTTTACAATAGAGACTGTTTTAAATAATAAATAGAAACATTATCACATCAAACCACTAAATGTGGGAGAAAATAGATGGTTATCTTTCCAAATTTTTATTCATGCCCAGAAAAGAATTTTTGAAAAGTTTACATTAGTGAATATCCTCAACCTAATTAATTGTTCCATGCATAAAAAAATATAAATTTTTCAATAAGATTATAAACTAAAATTTGAGTCTTGTCTACACTATAAATGGTGCAATTTTTCTCCCCCATTATTTCAGTAAATTTGCAAATATTTTTAATGCAGAAATGCAGAARTGTCTCCAGTAAGTGACACAGCCTGGGAAAATGTTTCGTTAAAATCAAGCAGAAACAAAATGGTCAGTCTAGGGGCTGGGTGCCATCTGAATACCTAGGAACACTGATTCCAATTGATGCTTTATCTATATAACCTTCTACAAGCCCTCAAGTACTGAGATTAACCTTTCTGTTGACTAGTGTAATGCCTAAAGCCACATAGAAAGGTTCAAAATAGGATGTGAATATTCAGGGCTGTATTTTCTATGYTCTCAAGGCAAGACTTTGAGCTTGCTCCATCTTCTAATTATTCAAATCTGTTGAATGTTATCAAAAGCTGCAAGGATCTATATCCCATTGTTTGCTAATATTGTGGGTTACATATGCAAATTTCAATGAACAACTGGTTTCTTTGCCACTGATTCATATGTGGTCTGCATAAGCCTTCTGATTCAAGCATTTATGGATGGGAAGAAAAATGGTAATTTATGTTTAGCAAAATATACAAATACACAGATTACCTCGGACAACTATCCTGGTAGCCCCATATTTTAATTTGTCTTTTATAGTAGGAAATGATACACACTGGGGACGGAATGGGGATAAAAGGGAATATTCTTTTCCAAGCTAAATTGCATATTTTAATGTATAAACACAGATTTAAAAAGAACATAAGCTAACAATTCAAATATCTTTTGTAATTTTATTCTAGTTTTAAGCTTGTATTTCACTTGAGAATACAGAATTGTAAAAGATTACATTTTATGGCAGAGCTRCTGCATAAAGTTATTAATATGTTCATCTTCACAAGCAGTTGCTAAATCCAGTGAGTCATCCTACCAGTGCCAGAAAGACACAAATTAGACAAACCGAGATATCCGCACATTTCTGTGCCTTTTATTATCTCTGTAGGTTCCTTCATTTTGAGGAATTTACCAGCTTTTGTTTAAGGAGATGGTAATCCATAATATATTCTAGCTACAGGTATTGCTCTTATTCCTCTTTCAGCTTACTCTTTGAATGCATGAGCACTTTCTACCTTTGATTGGCAGCACCCATTGTTATCCCTAAAAGGTTTTAAGCCTGAAATAATTGCCATATTTGATCAACAGAATAGTAGTGCATGGCCCGGTTTGGAAATGAGGCACCTCGATATCTGATAGTGTTTACAAAACTTGAACAGACACAGTAAATCAACCCCTAAGCACTTGAATCAGCAGAACAATTAAGTATCCAAAAGCAAAGAACAGCTTCCAGTTTCCTTACCTTTTCCCTTTAAAAGGCTAGGCAGAGGCCGCTGCACTGAAAATAAACTCCTTGCCATTGTTTTCAAACCCTTCCAYTTCCTCTGAATGTCTCTGATTTGTGTCTTATTTTGCCTCTCCTGACCTTTGCAATCCATGAAGCTGAGGTGTTTTTGGGGCAAGCTGCCCTCTCACACTCATCCCCACACCAGAGGGCATCTCCTTCTGCCCCAAGGTCCTCCTGGCACCCAAGTCCCACCTCTGCTCCACACCCTTGCATTCTTTCTCCCAGTAAACTCACCTCTGGCTGGAGTCTTGCTAACCAGGCATTCCCCATAGAGGAATGGTGGCATGAACAGGCTGTCAGGCTCAAGAGAGAGAGAGGAAGGGATGCTCTGTAAGCACTAAGATGATAAAAACATCTCTAAAATAATGTTCTGAGAGAAACAYTTCTCTATATTCCTCTCCATCTCTCTTGCTCTAATAAGGAATGCTTGCAATTGCAAATACTGAATATATTTGCAGATTAATATTTTAGATTGGTCGTTTGGTCCAAGAGACAATTTTATCTCTGATGTTGCCAGAATGGAAGTTTCTTTTTTGCTCTTCATTAATTGCATCCCTGTGATGTATTTGTTTATTTGCATGCCAGCTCACTCTTTCTCCAATTCTCYCCCTCCATTTGTCTCTCTCTCTCCCCCCTCTTTCTGCTGCTGCAGAGGATCAAGAGTCATCTAAAATGAAATGTTCTCGTCTTTAGTACAGAGCAAACTGAATGATTCTTAATTAGCTTTTAAAAATGCATTGTAGATAATACCACATTAATCCTCTGACCTTCAGCTCGTACAAAAGCATTGTGTTAATTGTCCTGGAAAAYAGATAATTCCATTGTTACAAACTCAGAGGTCTAACTTAAACAAACATAATCATCAGACACAAGGGTCTGCCACAGTCTGACTTCAAGACATTTTATAAAAATCTCTWGCGCTACTCTGAATAAAGAAGGAGCTGCATCTCCAAATCCCCATTAATGATTGCTACACCTCAGCAGATATAAACATTTGTCAGACTTTCTCAAAGCTTGTTCTGGTGCTTCAGACACATCAGCTCAGGAGGCTCCAGTCTGCAATCTGACTGAGAAAAGGGATACTCTCTGTTAAAGCTTTGGCAACCAATCCTACATGAAAATGAATATACAGAGACTGGTGTTTTAAGGCACTCAGAGTTTGCCTGTAAATATTTTCCTGAGGGTCCCATTCCCAGAGTCCAGAGCTTCTCTGCTCCTTCTTATATCAGCTTTTCTAGAAATAATATTCACACCAGCCTTTGTCTTTGATTACTGCAAAGTCCTTTCTCACTTTGTTCTGGTTCTCAAAACAAATCATATAGGTAGTAAGTGAGTTTATAAAGCAATAAAAATATCAGCCTGGATCATCACACTGTTTCCTACTTAAAACTCTGTTTCAACTGTCATTAAAGATCTTCCTGTTATTCCTGCATTTTTTGACAGTAAATGTGAGAACTACTTTAGAAAGATAGTCAGAGTTTTTTTCTCCACTTTCCATGCAGGAAATTCAGGTACAGAATTCAGGTATCTTCTGAAAGCYAAATCAATGCTAGCTGTATTAGAGCCCAAATTTTTGTACACTTCCACTATTTCCCTAGTGATAAACCAGAGACGTCAGACAATGCAGGTGATATCTAGGAAGAAAATGGTTTTGCTMAAATCRTAAGGCCTTRTTAGCTGGACTCAAGAATACTTCARTCTCTGACCTCAGYGACAAATGTTGTAAAKCCTCCACACTTAGGTACCTCCCTGAGCAGTTCTGTGTAGATCTGCTCTCCCAGGAGCATGATCCAACTGCCAAGTCCCACTGAACGATATCCCTGCACATCCTAATATCTTTTAAATACCTTCAGAGTTGCTGACTCAACCTTCCTTGGGCAGCCAGCTCCATGGCTTGACCACCATTTCAGTGCAGAAATTTTTYACAATATCCAATTGAAACCYCCCCTGGTACAGCTTGRGTCCATTTCCTCTTGTCCTATTACTTGATATCTGGGAGAAGAGCCACTCTTCTAACAACCTGTAGCACTGCATGGGTTTGTTGTGACCYAGGTGCAGGACCCAGCATTTTGTCTTGTTGAACCTCATAAAATTAACCTTGGCCCATCAATCCAGCCTGCCTAGATCCCTCTGCAGAGCTTTCCTGCCCTCTGGCAGATCAACACTCCTGCCCAGCTTGGTATTGTCCCCAAACTGTCTGAGAGATGGGTACTTGATCCCTTCATCCAGATTGTTGATAGAGATATTAATAAGGTAAAGAAATATCTATGACGCATGGTACCGTGTCATATGTTTCACACCAGGCAGTGTTAGCAGAGGAGGGCAGTGSTGATATCTCTCTTTAGATACCACGGTAAATCTTTGCCTCCTGAATAGGAAAAGTCTCTGGGGGCTTAAAGTTACAGACACTGAGGTACATTTTAATTATGTCACTGTAGCAACCAAGTGAAGTCACTTTGCAGTCATGAAAAAAACAAACTAAAAGTTTATCTTGGACATAAAAGTGGAAAACAGTCCCCAGAACTGGTATAATCAGGTTATTCTTGCTACTCTTACTGGGTGAGATCAACTAGCTGGGGGAAAAGTCAGTCTTTAACCATACCTTGGAGGAGGTACAAAGWAGACAGAGCAGCATGGAGGTGATAAGAAAAGAGCAAACATGACTGACCAGGTCATAGCAACTTTTTGCACGGGTTGACCACAGATGCATTTTCTTCAAAGGATAGTCCTTGTAATTTGAAAACAAACCCACAGTGATTTAGTAGGAAATAGAGGGAAAAGACCATTTTATCCACCAATAATATCTTCTTTGTATTTGTCCTCTGTACTGGCAGGAACAGAAATTAATTTTCAATCATTTTTTAATTCCTAGTCTGAACAACAATTTAAAAAATGCATTTAATTTTGTGACTTCCTTGGCTCATCAGTCTCTACTTTTCCAGTCTTGATGTTAAGCCTTCGGTATAATAAAAGAACCACTACTGACATCTGGTGGCAAATTATCTTTTTCTTTCAGTCCATATG